CCTGTCTCCAGGGCGGAAACAACTCCCAGAGCTCCATCAACGGTTCAGAGGTGGGACTTCCCTCCTGCGGGGCAGAACCTTACCTCTGACTTGCAACTCTGGAGCAGCGGCCCTCATAGCCCTCCCAGGCCCTGCAGCTCCAGACAACCAGAGAGGAATATCCCGGCCCAAGCGGTTGCAGCTGTTTCTCTTCCTTTCGCCTTCATCCCTAGTCTCCGGAGCCAGAAACCCGGCTTGTGGTCCTCGCTCCTGCTTCTCCTCGTGCCCCAGCCTCAGCCCGGTCCCTCCCCTGTAGCTCCTGTGCTTTCCACCAGCCTCCTCCCACTGGCCCGGGCGCTCTGCTTCTCATCTGGCCCCCTTCCCAAATCTTCTCCTGCTAGGTTGCCAGAAGGCGGTCTCAAATGCAAATCTGATCATGTGCCTTAAACTACTTTTACAAATCGGAGCACCTGGGTGCCTCAGTCGGTGGAGCCAGGGTTTCTTGATCTTGGCTCAGATGATGATCTCCCGGTTGCTGGGCTCCAAGCCCCTCATCTGGCTCTGAGCAGATGCCAGGAGCCTGCTTGGGATTCTGTGTCTCCTTCTCTCTGCCCCTCACCTGCTTGTGCACTCCCCCAACCCCCTCTCCAAATAAATAAACTGAAAAAAAAAAAAATACTTTTACAAATCTACATTCCCCCTGAGGACAAAGCACAGACTTCCAGGTGAGTCACAGAAGCCTTTGACATTTGGGTTTTACCCATCTCTCTGCCGTCATTTCTTAACCCTCCCCTCACACACTGCTGTGGCTGCTTCGCTGCTTTTCCCTTTTGAGCTTTGTGCCCTACCCTGACCATGTCTACCCAGCGATTTTTTTTTTTTCCTCCATAATTCATCTGGGGGACCTTTCCTGTCTCCTCGCAGAACTAAGCGCTCCCTTATTTACCTCCTGCAGCCCATTGGCAGATTCATTCGTGTATATATCTTGTCCCCCTCCCAGACCATAATCCATTTCAGGGTAAGGACCGTCATCTTCTCCCCAACCTTTGGCCTGGTGTCTGGAACACAGTGGCCCTTTAGTAAATGTCCATTGCATCAGCAAGTGAACAGATAACAGGAATACAAAGATTCACTCCTATGCTCCTCCTGGAAACTGCCTGGTATTTCTTACTCTCTCTTCTAATGACACAGCATTTACTTTAATTCTGAGCTTCCTGACAGCCAATGCATAAAGAGAAACAATAAAGGATATGTCTGAAAAAAAGCAAAACTTTCACTTCTGCAGTAGAGACAAACTTTTTCCTGGTAATAAATTTTCAAAGGAATTCATCACATGAGTTCTTGCGCAAGGAACATTGAACAACATAATGGGCAGTATCTTTAAGCAGTTTTTACAGAAGCTTCAGAAATATTCTTCACTTCACTGTTTCCAGTATTAAATGCTTTAAAAAAAAAAAAAGATAAAGACCTAGCACTAAAACATGATTCATGAAAGAACTTCCACTGGGAAAGGGTAAACTAATGAGCACCACATTTAGAGCTTTCTGGTGATCAAGGATATAGCTTTAGCCCACACAGGAGACTGTACATCTATAAACTCTATTTCTCAAATATCAGTTGTCTCAGCGAGGCTTTGACAGGAGCTAAATAACAGCCCCAAATTGGCTTCTCTGAGAGCCTAGAAAACTCCCACTCATTCAAGGGTAGCTATTTGTAGCATGTAAACTCTTGCCAGACTGAGAGAAGAATCTGGCCCAGTGAATAAAAATACAGAAAATAAATGCTTGGAAACTTGTAGGAGGAGAAGAGGCTCTGGGTTGATTGTCCAACCACAGCATTTAGTTTTCCTGCGCTTCATAGAGGCACTCAAAACAGTTACCGGTGTGTCGGCTTATCACTGGTTCCTAAGCTCTGTAAGATGGTAAGTAAACTACCTTTCTGTGTCTCGGTGTCACAAAGCACTAGTCACCCTCCCCGCCCCCCCCCCCACCAGCCCTGCCCACCTCTACCTACAAAGACAAATAGGAAGTCATCGGTAATTAAAGCTCTAGTAATGGGACTGGGCAGGAGGGCAAGGGGTGGAAATTATCAAAGGTAGAGTAAGGTACAGAAACAGGTTAACAGTTCTTCAGGACGTTAAACACAGAGGCGCCTGGGTGGCTCAGTAGGTTGAGCTTCAGACTCTTGATTTTGGCTTAGGTCATGATCAGGTCATGATTGCAGCGTCGTGGGATCGAGCCCCTCGTTGGGCTCCGCACTGGGTGTAGAACCTGCTTGAGATTCTCTCTCCCCCCCTTCTCCCCAACTCTCACTCTCTCTCTCTCTCTCAAATAAAAAGATAATAATAAGATTAGAAAAAACCCACAATCCCACAATGTTAAACAAAAAAACAGCTCATTTCAGCCCAAAAAAAGACTTTCGCAAAGACAAAAAAAAAAAAACCCAAAAAAAAAATGTTGTGACAATTATTTTCACATCT